AAAAAAAAACAACTTCAACATCTAATGATAAGAAAAGCTTATAAGAAGCAAAACACACTAGCAAATGAATATTCTAATCCAATTTGAAAGTAATGCTTTCCTAAGACAATATATGTATCGCTAATCCATATTAAAAGCAACATTTCCTGTTATTTGCGTAACTTAAAAATACAAATAGGAGGATGTTCATTGTGTCAACTTACTAAACCAACATGCTAAGATTGTTATAGGCGAATAGGCTATCAAACAATAGGATTTTCACAAAGATCATACTTTGACGCCAAGTAAGAATAAAATCATATAGAAGAGTCTTAAGATAGATAATAGAGTTAATTATGAGATAGAGGTAGGTGTGATAAGAATTAAGACATAATGTTGATTTTAGATGCGCATATAATGCATCATGGACATTCCTGCAACTCAATTTATATTTAAAAGCATAACATGATTAAACAAAATTTTAAATTGATTCAAAGATAAGCTTAAACATTCATAGATTCGAATTCATTCAATAAGTTTAAGGCAAGAAATGAATAGCATGGCGTCGAACATTGATTATCCGTGCAGATTTACCACAAACAGACACAAACCAAGACTAACAAGGCAATTTCGAAACTGATCGTAACAATGATATATAAAGTTAAAACAATAAGAGCAACAACAATCGGAAACCAGCCTTCCAACATCCATACATACGCATTCAAATCATACTCACACATGAAAGACCAAAGTTTCGATCATACGGGGAATCCCTATTTTGGCTAAACTATTAGGACAATGCAGCCAACTAAATAAAACAAAACGAAAACTCAAATTAAGAAAACAAGACGGTAAGAAGAGCGGAGTTGTATACCTTCTCCCGGGCAGCGACCTGGGACACGAGATTCTGGGAAGGATTCCACCACCACCAAACTATGACTCCGAGAACTTCGATGAACGGAAAAGAATCAAACGAGAGTAGAAATCTTATTGCCAATCTCTATCACTTCAAAATCTATTTCCTAAATATTTATCTATAACTATGTATAATTAATAGTTCACTGTATTTTATTTTTTTCTAATTCCAATTCATTCCCCCCCCCCCCTTACCAGTGAATAATAAGAGAGTATATATAGCCAGGAAAATAGGGCAGATTTGGGGGAAGAAAACGGATAGGAACTTGGGGAAAAATCGGAATTCCCCAATCAAATCAATTCAAATTTTCTATAGGAACTTGGGGAAAAATCAGAATTCCCTAATCAAATCAATTCAAATTTTCCCCCAAGGGTAAGGAAAGGCTGTTGTTGTATGGAAATTCAACCAAAATCCCCTAAAATTCGGATAGAAAAGATCAAAATGGGCGGTTGTTGCAGAGCAGGACTGTAGGAGTTGTTGGTTCCGTGAATTCGCTCTCGCGTGAAGGAGATGAGGCGCGTACAGGGCTTGCTGGACTTGGGTCACGCTTTGAGGGATGCTGGATTTGCCGGTTCGATTCTGGGCTTGTGATTTTCTGGAATTTTTCCGTTAGTGGGTTTCACGATGGAGAAGAAGATACTGTGGGGTGAGGTCGGTGGTAATCTATTTGACATTGTTGTGCGTTGTTGTGTGTTTGGATCACTGTATTGTTGTATTGAATTATTGGTGGGTCCTCTTCTTTTTTTTTGGGTTGAAACTGGTGGGATTGGCTTTTGTGAACAATTGGAAGTGGGCTGGGATGAATTGATTTGTTAATGGGTCAAGATTTGGGCCAAAGTTGGCTGAAAATTTGAAGTGAAGATGGGTTAGGTTGCTAATAGGATAAATTAGCCATTTGGAATTAAGAAATTAATCCGATCAAATTTAATTAGTTAATTCAATTAAAACGTCAATAAGGTGAATTAATATTAATTAATTAACAAGCTTCTTAATTTTAACGAAATAAAATAAATAACTCAACATATAAACTAATTAATTCAAAAATATTAACTATTAGTTAGCTAAACTAATTGACAAAATTGTAAGAAAAAACTAAAATCTTTTTTTTTTTTGAGACAATTTCGAATATTCGTAAAATATACTAATTATATACATAATTATTTAAAAAATTATAAAAAGTAACAAAACTATTTAAAATAACTTGAAAAACATTTTAAATTTTATAAAGCTAATTATTTCAAATTGTTTGGAATTTAAAAAGCTCGATGATTAATATATATTGTGGAGGTCCAAAATTGGGTGTCAACAACTGTCTCTCGTTTGACTTGGATTGATGCAAGAAATTCGAGGAAAATGAAATTGACTAATCCAATCTTGACCGACCACATTTTCATCTTTTGGGAAAAAGGGTTTGGTACAAACTTTAGTAATTATGGCCGAACCACGGAAATGGGTTTCCTACATATCTCATGTTATATGAGAATTCAGGCCACTTGTAGTTCGATATGCTTGATTTAACGCACGATTCAAAAGAGCTCAAAAGTCATTCCGATATCGGATTATGAAGAGACCAGAATGCTCGGGAATAAGATTTGAGAGTGAAAGTTGGAATACAACCGAGTTTTCAATACTTATTCCGCCTACATATCCCTCAGCTTAGGAAATCAGGTTGCTTGTATGCTAAGATAACATTCGGTTGGGAAGAGTGACAAAATAAGTCGAATATGAAAAAGAGGCTTGCAACCTCTTAGCCATGAATGTGGCATGCTTCACAACTCATAAATAAGAACTCACACAGACACAATTTTCAAAGCTCTTGGCGCATTGTCACTTGGATTGGAAAGCTGCTTCCGGTGGAGATAAAAAATTTCCGGATGCAAAACTGAAACCA